GATATTTACAAATATTCCCAGAACTTGTGACTCAGTCATTACATAGATGTTGTTATAAAAGAAAAACTGTATAGTATTGTAAAGTTCTGATGACCTATTGAGGAGATATTTTAAATGCCATTTCGATGAACAATCCAAGCCATCCATACATAGCCAGTGTTACCATATGCCCGATATTAGCAAGTTTATTCTAAGGCTATTTCCTTACTAAAACTAAACAAGTAAGAAGGTTACTTGCAAATTTCTTGATTTCTTCAAGATCACAGTAGCACTTGGGACAGAGAGCAGTTTAGATTCTCGCTGTTCTCATATTAAAAAGATTAAATCTAGCTATATGTGTCCATACATAATATTTATTGTCTGAATACTAAGAGAGAGAGAGAGAGAATCTGTCATACATCATATAATGATTCATTTCTATATAAAATATCCATCACACCAAATACATTAAAAAAAAATCTTTATAAGTATATTGCAGTACATGTAATGTTAAAACACGAAAAATGAGTAATATATCTATATATATGTTTGTTTAATTAGCAATTAAAATTTTTTTTTTATCTCATCTAAATACAGTAGGAATAGAGATAAAGTTAATACTGTGAACCACAATAACGCTACTTGTACATTATAGCCAGCAGTTCTCAATTTTCTGTAATACACAACTACATGCTAAATATGTTTCTGTTGTTTTAAGATTGTGTTTTTATGTGATCCCAGGTGGCTGCCAAATATAATTGTACAAGAAATATTTCTCACCCATGGATAATGTTCTTATCCAACATGAATAAATGTTTTTTCCTTCCCTAAATTTTGCGTATCAACTGATACCATGAACTGAATACACTTCTTGATAGAATACAATAGGTCTGCAACTCAAGTTAAATCAATTAACTTTCTATGATATTGAAAAATATCCTTACCACATAATATTTGCTTCACAATGAGAATCCAGAAATACCAGGACATCCCCAGTAGCAATTTTTGCCCCAGCAAGTCGTGCTCTGATCACACCTCTACGTTCACTCATGCGTAAAAGTTTTATTCTGTTGGCTGACAAATTCTTTTTTATGTAATTTTCCAATTTTTCTTTCAAATGTTCTGACAGAAACAAAACAAAAGCTCAGTAAGTTCAATATATTAATGTTTCTTTTCAAATAATGTTACTACAACAAACTTGTATATAACAATTGGCTTCAATACTTCTGGATTAATATTTTTCACTTTCAGATATAAACAATGTACTAAAAAGGTAATTTGTGCCTTAATAAACAAACTGCTGTAAATTCTCAGAAAGGATAACTTCTATTCAAACATTAGTGGTCACTAATTATACAGGCCTGCAACGGTTTTATTGTCTTGAAATTTTTACATGTTCTACAGTATGCTGAGTCCGAAAATGATTTCCATTTTTCTCCATCACGTACAGATTTTTCACAAAATGTCATAATGCAGTACATAAAAGAAAGACCACAACACATAGTTTTGAGACTAAAAGATGTAGATTTCACAAAAACAATCAGGATGAATGAGGACACATAGTTGTTTAACATCAATGTTCTTCCCTTTTCTTCAGCTTGTTTGTATTTTTGTAAAAAACATAATAAAAAATGTTCATTGTGGTAAACAAAATAATAATTTGGTCTAAGTAAGAGTTTTTTTTCTTCCCGATTTGTAAAAAAATCCTTACATAATAGAAAAAAATTAATAATATTTTCGAAATCTGTGTAGTTGAATTAAGGAAAATCCATTATTAAAACCAAAACAACTTTTATGAAGTTTAAATTAGCAGGCTTGTGTTATTTGCCATTCAGATTCATGCACAAGTGTGAAAACACTTTTTGGGCAGCATATTATACTCGACATGTTAAATAGTTAAAGCATATGTAAAATTGAAGACTTAAATCTCACTTAGTTCAGTTTCACTTCTAAAGAAACTTCACAGAACACATATACTTTTTAAATATTTTTTCTAAAGTTGTTGGCTTTTTCTTATTCATACAAATTTTGAAGGGGAAATCAGAGTTACAATTTCAAATATTTTATAATCTCCAAAAATAAATCTGTCAATTTTTACATTAAAAAAAAGTATTAGAATGTCATACAAGTTTACATAAAATACAACATACCACGAGTACTTGCATCATCCACCAAAATTATTTCATGAAGAAGATGAGAAGGGGTCCTATTCAAAACACTGTGTATCGTTCGAAGAAGTGCCGACCACGCTTCATCAATGAAGATGATAACAATGCTGGCTGTTGGAAGGTCTTTATCATAATGAATGTTTTTACACCTAAGCATATTCAAATTTAATGAAGAAAAAGTTAATTATAGTAGCAGCATGAGAAAGAATAGTATTTAAATACAAAAGCACGAAAAAAAGGAAAATCTGCTGTATTTGTAGATTTATAATTTTTTCAATTATATACAACATATATTCTGTTGTTTATACATCCCTTTAGTTACTGATGAAATTCACATCATAATGTAGCAAAGACTTCTACAAAAAATATTATGTGCAAGTTTCACTAAAGTACACTACTTTGTAATCACTACTTCAATATAGTATTTACAACTCATTTATACCAAAACCAATTAAGTTTATCTTGATATTATAAATTTATCAGTCATTTACAAGTGTGTGCAGTTTTTCATATAATATTGTTCAAGAAGGTCTTTAAGTTCATGTCATTCTAGATGTCTTTGTTCTTTTGTAATTCTCTGAAGATTACACCTGTTCTAGCTGGAACAGCTGTAAGCCTATAATGCTGCATGTCATGCAAGGATTTTGATAGCAGTTTCTGATATCTTGAGGTTACAACTTCCTGTTTCAATGGGATTGACTAACAGTAATATAAGTGGTACACACATCCTAAGAGGATACTATTGTAGAATTTGGTATATAATATTATGATCGTTCAGTTAGCTCTCTCATTCTCTTAATCCCTAAGTTTGGTAAGTGAAGTTTAAGTCTTTTCTTTGTAAATAATAATACTCTTCCAAAGTTTAACCTGTAATGTTAACTAGTTCTTAATAAGTCTCTTTATATAAGTTGTTAGGAGAGATAACTTTAAGTAATGGTAATGTCATTCATCCAACACACATTATTTTGATTGTCTGCAAGTTAAACAGAGATGTGTTTTCACTGCGTGTTCTATATTGTGTTAAGACTCTTTTGCATACTCAATCAAAGTCTGAAAATTCATATTTACTACAATGTACATTTCCTAATCAAATCTCCCATTATTCTGTAGACCTATCTTGGCACTCTTAAGGGAAACCACTTTTACCTGAGAATATCACAGAATAAATATCAAGGAGAAAATATAGTATTACAGAGTTTTCAGTTTTTCTTCTGATGTGTGGATCACTCTTTACTTCATCTATTGTATTATTAGGCTTTTATAAAAAGGCTTCATGCTGGAGCAATTGGCCTTTTATAGAAAGAGTTGGTCACTGAAGGGAGATGACTGTCTGAGAGATGTCAGGTCTAGAAGAAACTCTCTCCTGGATTTAGGCTTCTTCTCTAAGCAGCCACAAACTCGGGAAGGAGAACCGCCATGATCTGGTTTACTCAGATGGCTGATGTGAGAAGAAGTAATGTACCGTATCGGAAATGTCACCCGATTTATTTGAGTGGCAGGAATTCAACAGTGCATCCTGCATGATCCTCTCTAGACTTCTCCTGTTACACCTGATGTGTGTTTAGCTTTTCCACATGCAATGAGGAAGTTGCATTTTCCCTGAATGTATATTAATTTATACTATAGTAACATCGTGAATATCAATTTATATTTATCACAATGTTAACTATAATTTGTCAGGGATAGTTTATTTTGTGATCCCTCAAAAGAAAAATGTGTTCTTTTTGATGCTTATAAATGGTAACACATTACTATGGGACATAATGTAACCTGAGAAGGCCACATCTTTTAACTAAGTATGCATGGGGTCAGTCCTTTCAGAAAAATTATTATTGGAAAAGAAATATTTGACTATAATTCTGAATTTAGTTTGTGTGTTCACATGAAATACGGCAAGCTTTAAGTAAAATGTGTATGTATATTGTATAGAAAAAAAACAGATGTGTTACAAAAGTATTTGTACTCAAGATGTGTCTGTGAACTGATGCCACATTGTTTCAGACTGACAAGTGCAAGTTGATGTTCACGTAAAGAATAAAAATAATTTTGTCCATAATGTACAATATTGCATATTACATTTGTGTAACCTTATGAACCTCCAAAATGCATATGCACAGTTCCTTTTTCCTTCAGCATGTGCACATACAGTTAAACTATTAGTGTCGGTGACAACATGTAATGATGATATACGTATATAGCAATATTTATAAAAAGCTACTGTTCCTAATTTTGATCTACTGACCAAAGAGAAGGTAACCAGTCAGAAGTACCCTATTACCCATCATCCATGCTAAGGAATGAGCTGTCACTCTTATAATGCATCCATAGCTTAAAATGCAAGGAAATATTTTGTGTGATTGTACAAATTCAAAGATAGCTCAATAGCTCAAAAATCTCAGCTCCATCCAGGGCCAACTTATGCCCACGTGCATAAATAAACTGTATGAGCTTTCGAGGAAGTAATTCAAGAATGCTATATAACAAAAATGGATCAATTACATAAACAACACAACTATTAAGTAACATATGAATAGATACAAAGGATTTGATGTGGATGTTAAGATCTTGTGCAATTAACAATGAAATATTCTATAGAAAGTGAATTTTCATGGAAGGATAAAATTAACAGACTTGGACTACATACAAGAGAAAAAAACAATTTTACCTATTCTTTTTCAGTAAGAGTAATACAAAACATTACAATTGGATCAAACTGAAATATTTAAGAGCAGGTGAAATCATCAGTAGTGAATGAAAGTCAAAGACAGTAGCTTGGATAACAAGTGTAAACTTGGTGTACCCAATGTGTTATTTGATTATGACAGAATCTTTTCAATGAAACAGGCTAAAGTACCTTATAAATATAGTTTTCTAAATATTCCCTTAACATTGTTTCAATACAAGGTGCAGTTAAAGATGCATTAAAATGCAAGCTATAAGTACAGTTGGGCAATTACTCAATTACCTATTATCATCATCAACTGAATTGATGAGCATCATTAAATGAATAACTGATGAAATGAAATTATGATCAAATTTATTATTACCAATGGGGTTTTTGATTCCTTATAAATCACCAGAAAGTAACCTAAGTGGGCAAAACGGCTGTCCACAGCAGAGTACAGCCAATCAAAGAATG